AACATCGAATTCATAGAAGTATATAAACACGTACCATAGATTCGAATGACAGAATTAACATTACACCATGTATAAACAATGTGATCAAATGAATATAAAGATATACACATAAAACAACAATAATAACAAATTATTTATTGTTCAGTTATTCTCTCTCAATCTACTTATTCATCCAGCTCATTTATGTTGGATTCCTCGTAATCCCCTTATATTTTGATATTTTCTTTTTTAGGACATGTAAGCAACATTTTTGATATGTAAACTAAAAACCAAAAAAGAAAAACAGAAAAAGAATTGGCTACTTTTTCTCTCTTTCAATGATTTACTCGATTCGATCTATAGGCGTCAGTAATATCATAAAATGTTTTTCTTTTTCTTGTAATCAAAACGAAATGTCGTGTACACATATATGCATATCTGTATCTGTATACATAGATGGTGTCAGCTTATATATTGAAGTATATGTATATATATTTGTATAATAAGATGTTAGGGTCCAGATATATGTGTGTATACGGTGTTAGTGTAAGAACCTGTGACATTTGATTGGTTACAGCTAGATTTTGACATTTTCGTCTTAAACACTTTAAGTCCAAAAATTTAGCCAAACATTTTTATATTATATAGTCTACTTAAATAAGTGAACTTATGATCAACATAGTTTCTGTTATCTTTTTTTGGTAGGATACTTTAGTTTCTAGTTGAAATGTTAATTTAAATGGTGTTCATTGGATAAATTCCGGTTGAGAAAAAAAAATTGACACTGAAATCAATTATAATACTGTAACTGTTATTCATGTCAATTAAATAAGTAATCCAAGTTGGGAGGGGGGGTTAAAAGCAATAGACTGTAATCTTTGATCCTAGATTTTATTCTTGTTTGATCTGGTCAACAAGGTGTGGTTACAGTCGAGATGAAATTGAGGATTTCCACGGGATTCGAGTCAAGATCATTTACTTGTCTATAGATATTTAACATGAAAGCAGTATACTTGATAATGAGTTATTTTGGAAAGTGACCTCTTTTTAAATCAATCACCTCTAAGTATAAGACAAACATGAAGTTGTCTGGCATTTACTGATCAATCAGTGTTAGTAATTATTGTGCTTTATTAATTCGGAAACTTAATGGTTCATCATAGTGTAAGCTGTTGAATATACAATGACCCGAATCTGAAAACAATAACAGTTTTCCTAGGTTTCAAATTGTCTTTCAACTGAAAGATAAGTTACATCGATAAATTTGTTTTGTGAATTGATTCGTTTAGTTTCTGTCAAGGGACGACTCAACTGATTAATCACTGAAAATAAGAAAACCTGAGCATAGCTATTTTGTGCGAGATCAAATACAGAACGTTCAATCCTTCGGTAAGTTCATGATCATTAGACTAGTGAGCTCCTATCCATTTGTCTCCAATTTTAACTACAGTCAATTTGTGACCGGGTGTGACCTTTAACAAATATCTTGTATCAATCTATGTGTCACAATTCCTTCTTGCACAGTTTGAGAAAATTTTTTTAAAAACCCAATATTTGTGCCTATTCGATTATGTAGTTCATTTTCTATGATTTCACATAGTTTCTATCATGAAATGATATAAGTAGGAGAAGTATTGGAAACTCTCTATCAGTAAAATACACTTTACGCGTTTCATTCTAGTTAAATCGAATTAGTCACATGCATCTACATCTCAATGTTAATGTTATGACAAGAAACAAAATATAACCACTAAGCTCATTGTGAAAAAAATCTGTTACCTGAGTTCAACTAACCTTTAAATACTGTTTTCACTTGGTTTATTAACATTCGGGCCATGAGAAATGAAGTTTACATATTTTTTTTTATTAAGAGCATGAACCGATATCAGTTAGACAGCAACAGAGAACGTGGAAGCGCTGAATTCCCGTTTCGTCCTATTATGGAACTTTTCAACAGTGCGCACATAAGTCCTCGTGACTGGAAATCCAACACGGGACCTTTGGTCATGCACATGCACTTTCAAACACTAAGCCAGTGAGCTGATATCCATCATTACTGGCCCTTAATTTTATCCTTGAAAATAATCCTATCTGTCATAATGTTTTTATTGTAGATTATATAAAGAGGAACAACAGTTGTACTTTAAAGATATGTGCTCAACAATGGTCAAAGTTATTCCCTGTAGTGTCACATTAAGACTGTCAAATAATGTCTATCTTACATATAATGATAGGAATACTTTTCGAATAGCACCTACTTATTGTTCATCAACTCATGGAATCTCATACTATCCACATAAAAACAATATACTTCATGACAATCTAGAAAATCACAGAAAATTACCTTTCTGTCTACTTTAATTCTAGTAGGATGCCATGTTCTAATGAGAATATTACCTAAGTAATGAGCTAGTGAAAACTAGTATGTTCAGTTTAATCAATTGTTTTAAGCTTATTAAATGAAAGTTTATCAATAGTTGAATATTCGTAATCCAGTTGTATCTGCCCTTTATAGATAAATTAACATCGGGCGTAGTACAACATGATGTTGAATTAATCACTTAGTAGCTATATTCTAAATTAATAGGAAATCAATCCTTTTCTAACCTAAAATGTACTTACAGAGCATTCAAACAGATTAGTAAATTCTAAACTGAAGAAATAGTGATTAACGTTGTGTACAAAAAATTGATGTTACTTTTTTTTTAGGAAATTAACATCATTTCATTATTCTGAACGTTTACATTTCTAAGCAATAATGGATGATGGCTAGTAGTGAGATCCTAGGACGCAGGTTTCATCCTATTTTCGATTCGTCATCTGGATATACCTGCATCCCAGAGTTAATGTTCACTCCGGGGCTCGAACTCAGTACCTTTCGCTTCAAACGCCATCACGTTATCCACTTAGCTACTGAGTCCTGATAACCACTAACTTGTGTAATGGGGTGCAGTTTAAATTTATATGATATTGTTTACTTGAGTCTTCCTATTGATGTTTAGGACTGCAACTGATCAGTCTCTTATCGGCATGTATACATCCTGTGCGGATTGTCTCTATATTACCTTAAGTCACAAGCATTATAAGCAGAGATGGACGCGGCTAGCAGAGGAATCCAGGACGTGCGTTTCGTATTATTTGGGATTCGTTAATGGGAAGATTCAAGTAAACAATACCAAGTGAGTTTTAAATTTCTCTTCAGAAAAAGTCAGAATTAATTCTACTGATGGCCTTTATGACCATACACAGTTGAGGATTGAATATAACAGTGTAATAATAGATGGTTAATAATACATAACAGTTGATAGATTACATGATTTTAAAGAAATGCTTTGTGATAAAATTAACTCTAAAACTAACGAAAGATAATTTATCAGGACAAACGATTCATAATTGTTTACTAAAACAATTTTCTGTTTGTTAAACTATCTCATTAACATTGCACATAAATAAAACATTTTAAAATGAGACTGTAGGCCGTGGGTTCGAATCCTGCGAGCGGGATCGTGGATGCGCACTGCTAAGGGGTCCCACAATAGTACGAAACGGCTGTCCAGGGCTTCCAGGTTTCTAACGGTGGTCTAACATCAATCGGTTCATGATCCCAACCAAAACCTAATAATCTCCGCAACCCTATACTGATAAAATGAAATCCCGCTATCAGCGGGATCCAGAATATGCTTATTGTTTTGTTTGAGACACGCTAGATGAATATACCGGGACCTCAATGTTAATGTATCACTCAAAAATTTGAACATAGTGTTCATCACACTATCTACCTAGCTAATGAATTTAGAAAGCCACTGGTTTGTACAACACAGATGAATAATAATTTATTTGTAAGAGTCTTGGATTCAACTACTAGCCATCACTTGCCTGTGCCTAAAAAAATACTCGCGATAAGATAAAAATATCGAAGCAATCTACTCTGAATAGATATATGCTAAAAGAGATTGTTCAATGACAATACTTAACACCAACAGCGGAAAATGGATTACAATTGATCCTCATCGCACAAGCCAATAGCAATTTGAATTCATTGGCTAAGTGGATAATGCATTAAACAATTAAAGCTAATGGTGTTATGCTAGAGCCACAGAGTGAAGATAAACAGTGGTATGTAGGCATTATCTATCTGACCAGTCTCAAATAGAACGAAACATAATTTGTGAATTTTCCTACTAGCCTCTACTCATCTTCCTTAAAAAAAACTTATTTTCTGCTTATTAATTAACCTGTTTAGAAAATACTGAGCCGAGAATTTGTAGCAGACATCAAAATAATGAATAGGAACTAGAAACAACACCAAATCGGCGGCCTACTTCAACATTTGGGCTACATGTTTCTGCCTTCTAGATGTTTCAAGAAGTTATCTGTTTTTGCTTGTTTTAATACATTATATATATATATATTAACCGCACAATCTATTAAGGTATGTTCATGATAATTTTGCAATCTTCCGTTGTATAAATCACAAAAAATGCTTAATCGGAGACATCGTGGTTACTGGTAACATTCAGTGAAAAGGGTGTACATTATTTTCGATGTCGATTTACTGAACTGTTAACATTTAATTGGAGATCACTCAATATTTATTCGTCAGTATCGACCAAGAAGTAAAAAACAAAAACTTATTAAAATACTTTATGCTGAGAATTCTATATTGTACCCAAAATATAATAGTGATAAAGCTAATAGTAATAATAATCATAATAATAAATAAATTGTCCGGGACAGAGTTAGATGGCGAATCCTGGCTTACTGCCTATGGTCCTCCACGATAGGTAACAAGAGTAAATAAGTTAGTGAGTACGTAACTTATTAACCTGTTTTGGTTTAGAAACCCGCGCATTATCACAGCTGTCACATAAATTAATACTAACTACTAGTGTTGTGTATATGTATTTGGTGCCTTCCCCCCCTTATACTAATGTTTATGTGTCCAAATAAATAAATCAATAAATCAATATAAATTCATACTATTAAAATGAATCTATACTGTATTGCACTTATTAACATACCTTTATATTTCTCTTCATTCTTTTTATATTCAATTATTTTATTTATATTTTGATTGTTTCCATTAATTTTATTATTATTTTCATTAATAATATTTTGTGAATTTATTTGTTGAATATTATTAATCAATAATAATAATAATACTAATAATAAGATCAATGAAAAGATATTTAATTGATCCATACTTTTATATTTTTGTTTCGAGATCATTGTATTCAATAATGAATAATTAGAAAAGGATCATTGTCACTGTGTCATAATGATGATGATAATGGAAGTTTATTTGTTTAACTGATCAATGTTTCGTTTCAATTGAATATTGAATTATTTCAAGATTATATTGCCACTGTTTGTTTGTTTTGTACAGAATGAATAATTAAGTTCAACATAAACTATTAATATTGTTTAAATGTATTAATAGTCAATAGTAATTGGTAATATAATACAATAAATATAACTATTAATTATTATATTTTTTTTAAAAAAAAAAGAGAAAAGAAAACATAAAAAAGAAAAATTCTTTCATAGAGACAATACTATTGGTGCAAATAAAATAACACAATAAACACATTTATGATGTATATTGCCCAATCCGAATATTGATCAATAATTCAATTGATCATATTACCCGAGATTTAGGATACCATGTTTTGTTAATATTGAATTAATACTATTTAAATGATAAGACAAAAAAACGAGAAGAAGAAGAATAAGAAGAAGAAAGATACCTTCTTTAAGAAAGAATAGTGTAGTACATGTTATTATAGAACTAATTAATGGACATTGTTTTATAGTCTTATAAAGGAACATGATAAAAATAGATTTGGCATAAGATTATTAGTTTAGTTTAGTTGCCTATAACTTGATTCAATACAATCATGTCACTTTTTAAATTTACATTTATATATAGAATATAGTTGAATGAAGTGCAAATGCTCACCTATTCTTATTACATACAGTTATCTCTGCAGTTATTTTTTTCTCATTAATTTACCTGATTTCTGGTGATTTGTTTAGTTTGAAGACACTATGAACCTAGCCTTCAATATCACTAAATTATAATAGAGGTAAATTTGGTGAATCGACTAAGTGTTGCAAATAAGATTCATATAATTCCAACTAAAATGTTAAATGATGTTATATTTGACATCAAATTTAAATATCTTGGGTTCTATTTCGTGTTAGGTTTTGAATGCACAATGTCTAGAGGTACTGGAGTACGGATTAAGCATCCATTTAGTGCTCTTTGGTTTACACTGTTTTTACAGCTAATATAAACCTTAACGATTGAAGTCAGTGTTAACTAGATTGCTCTTCTGTTATACTTTGGAAATTCCCAAGATTGTATATAAATGATTCCGTGTAATTTCTGAGTGTTATGTTTCTTTAATCATTATATACTTGAAGCTTCTTTGAAAGAAAGTAATCATGAAATCGTAAACCCTGATAATATTTCAATATTTCCTGAAATATACATTTCACTAACTGATTGCAACATGAGTCACTGTTTTCTGAAACTGCTAAACTGTGAAAGGATTCACTTGGGATTGTTGAATTTACTTCAATCTTGATACAAAAAGTTGTGTTTGTGTGACTGAGTTTCAACTACTTATCACATTCCGTAGTTAACTTCTCAGTCCTCTTAAAAAATATTTATAGATTGTTATTCTACTTCAAGGGGATATTTGAAAGTGGGGCAGAAAGAATATTATTAATGTTATTTAGTATTATAATCCAGAAAAATCACTTATATTTCCGAAACCTTACTGATAAGATAATGAACTGTTTATTTATTGTTGTACATTATTTCGATTCGCGTAAAGGAGCATTTCTAGGAACGAATTTAGTCTTCATCGTATATTCATATAAGCCGGAAATTAAACTAAAAAAATAAAAACATACTGGGGTTCATTATATTCAACTACTGGACTCCTTGTCATTGTGTAAGCTTGATACCATCACGAATTACATAGAAAATGTTCAGTTCTTATATTAAAAAGAATACCATTGGATATACTTGATATTAATGACATCAGTCAATTCCTTGTATTTCTACGGAACTACTTGAATTATGTCAAACATCTTCTTTTGAAATTATCAAGATATCAGTGAATTATTTATATACATTCCATTTGAAATTTAACATCAAACTTATTCTTATACTATAGTTTGTGTCATGTTAGTCAAAAAACATAAATTCTTGTATTTATCAAAAAAGTTTCAATAAAAATATTTGATTGATATCATGAACCGATTGATGTTAGACCACCATTGAAAACCTAGAAGCACTGGATGGCCATTTCGTACTATTGTGGGACTCCTCAGTAGTGCACACCCACGATTCCCACTCGCAGGATTCGAACCCAGGACCTTAAGCCTCGCGCACGAACTATTGACCTCTAGACCACTGAGTCAGCACCCAACGGTATTAATATCTATCTTCAACCAATCCGCGAAATCGCTTGACCATCTTCCATTGTACTTAGGTAGATACCTGTTTCTACTCGACATAGATTTGCTCCACTGGTCACTGCTTCTCACTAGAACTCCGAGACTTCCCTCACGAAACTAGTCACTAGTGAGCACATGGTAATTATCAGTATAGAGTTGTGGAGATTCAATGGTGGTCTAACATCAATCGGTTCAGGATCTCAATCAAAAACTTAATAATCTCCACAATCCTATACTGAAAAAATGTTTGAAACGTTTTGTTTAAACTCTTTCTCACTAGCAATTATTGTCCAATCTAATTTTGATTTAATACTATATTAGTTGGCCTTTAATTCCTTCGCTGTAGTAATAGGACGAAACAGATGTCCTGGATTGCACTACTAGACATCATCCATCTTTCCTTATAATACTTGTGGCCTAAGAATATATAGAGGCAATCCGTATTGGATGCATATATACTAATAAGAGACTGATGAGTTGCAGTCCTAAACATCAATAGGAAGATTCAAACAAACAATACATAGTGAGAAGACGAAGATTATCAGGGCTATGTGATATATTAGCGCAATATATTTCGAATAATACTTGTTAAGAATGACCCAATAAGAGTAGATGATAAACAACCGTTATCCTCTATTGCTAAACGCAATTGAAACAGGTCATAAGATTCATCTTAACTGGGCTTTTGTGGTGTTGTACAAAAGTGTAAAAGGGCGTATACTAAGTTTTATTGAAGCATTAACTATACGAAAATTTAAACACCCTCTGTGTATTCAAAAACAGTTCGTTCTCATCTTAAACCTACCCTGGTAATATTAGCTTATTATCCAGAGTGATTAGGTTTCAAATTGTTTTCACATTATTGCATTATTATTCTTGTCTCCTCCATTTCTAGTCTGGTTAATCATTTATTTTTTATATAAAAATGTACTAACAAATATATGTGATCAAATTATTCGAAATGTATTGTGCACATAGTTCTGATAATCTTCGTCTTCTCATTATGTATTGTTTGTTTGAATCTCCCCATTGATGTTTAGAACTGCAATTGATCAAACGGTCGAAATTTATCAAAGGGACTAATTGCTTTAAATACATAATGAATTTAATGAATATGTAGCTTTTCATATGACCGATTACTGTCTTAATCGACAGACTATTAAATTTCAGAAGTTCCATTTACCATTTATAGTGAATAGGCAGGACTAGGGAAATGTCTCTGAGCCTTTTCCAAAACATTCATCTAACTGAACGATTTTTAAGTTAGACGACAAATCACTGAACACTGATGAGTTTACCATATATCGTGGAGGTCAATGATGATGAACAAAAATCGACCATTTGCAGACCATAGTGTATACGTACTCTGTCTTTTTCTAATCTGTCCAAATCAATATGAAAAATGTCATCGGTATGATTCTATTTGTTCTGTACAGTCAACAAGACCATATTTCATGTGTTCCACGATATGGTAGTTGTTGTGTCCCGATAAGAATAAGGAATGGTAATTTTTAGGGATCTATTTATGAACCAATACTTTGCGTATATTTTTGTCGTATAATTGTTAATTAACTAAACTATTCATATTCATGTCTCTCTTATCATAAGCTTTATTTTAACCTATGAACCATTATTATACGTTTTACCATTCTTGAATTATGTCCTGCCTATTAGTCACTGCCTCTCATATTCACAGTCACATTTGGCCAAATTTTGTACAAATATTATTTTCTATTTTATGCTACGTTGTGGTCTGTTTGATTTGTATATAAACTCAGTATGCTTAAAATATAAGGATTCATAATGCAGAGGCTGAGATTGGTGTTCTGTATTTAATTGGCTGGGCTAGGCGGAAAGCAGGACTAATCAGAACTCTAGGCTTCTCGCACGTGTTTTAAGTGTTCCTGATCCTAGTCAAAATATTGATATTAATCTTTATTTATAAACCATCAATATTTTGCAGTTTATAGTTTATGTTTCATTGATTCATATAAGTTATTTTTCTTTGATCAGAAAATGAAAGAGCCCTTTTCTTTAGATCACTATTTGGTAATATTTTAACTTTAATCAATAATTATCAGGGAAACAATCCTATTATTGTATGTTCATTATAAATACTATTAGATGCTGTTAAATATTTTTAATCGTCTTACAATGAATCAATAAAGTTTCAGTTTACCTTTAGTAAATATCTAGATATAAACAATGTAGGATCTAATGTACATATGCTTTAGTCTATATAGTTGCTTCATTTTACATTAGCGTAATGAAAACGATATTAATATGATTACAAATAAAGGAAACGAAATGATAGGCTGAAAAAAAGTGAAATAGATGAATTATTATTCCAATGAAATTGGTAGAAGCATGAGAGAGAACAATTCACTTTGAAATGGTTTTGAATTCGGCTGAAAATATCAACATCGGGATAAGCCAAGACTGTTACAAATTCAATAAAAATTAATACTCTCTGTACAAGTGGAACAGATTCTAGATACAATAGCTAAATGAGTAACGTATTGCACATCTGATCAAAAGGGTAGTAGATTTAGACCGTGAAGTGAACATTAACTTTGAGATGTATGTCCATCCAACTGACGAGCCCCATGTGAGACGAAACGCGAATCTTGGATTCCACTACTGGTCACATTCGATTGATTAGATAAAAAAGGAGAGAACAATCTTTACTGTCATTGCCACTAAGTTCGACCTTGAGGACATCAACAATGTCAACACTGTTCAGTGTAGAAAAGTTCTGTGTTGTTTTATAACTCTGTGTTATATTCACTTTTATAAGCATGATTAGGAGCAACATTTACTTGAAAATTATGAACATTTAATCACTTTCTTTGTGAAAATATTAATTTTTAAAACTCATATAATTATTCTTACATAACCTTGTCCACCATTAGTACTCAGTGAATTTTGATATTTCATAGTGTACAGACAGTTGAGTCTACGAGAATTATGATTCATATTACAGTAATGATTGTGTTAAGGACGTAAT